GTAAAACCCGAAAAAAAAAAAAAAAAAAAAAAAAAAATTGTTAATGTTCTTACACAATATGCTCTCAGATCATTCTACATTTTCCCTGACCTAGCTCTTGAATTAGCCATATTTCCAGAGCTGTTTACATATTAGAGAACAATTTTTAAAAATAAGACTTCAGCTGGGTCTTGTGGCACAGCACTTGAGGCTGAGCCAGGAGGATTGCTTTGAGTTCCAGGCCAGTCTGAACTGATAGTGAGACCCTATCTCAAAAAAAACCAAACTACTACACTACTCCTACTATCACTTATAATAACATAGAAACTTAAAAGAGTATGTTGTACAGAGAGAGACAGAGAGAGAGAGAGAGAGAGAGAGAGAGAGAGAGAGAGAGAGAGAACAAGATCTCCCAACACCAACACCACCACAAAAATAGAGACAGAGAAAAAAACAAGATCTGAGCTACTGTTGCTACTAGGATATAACTAGGTTCTTGGCTGGGGGGTAGGGGTGGGGTCTGTAGTACTAGAGATTGAACCCAGGGCCTCAACCACATTAGGCAAGCACTTTATCACTGAGTTACATGCCCTGGTCTTTTTAAATTTTGAGACAGTCTAGCGAGGTTTCCCAGGCTGGCCTTGAACTTGCCAGGCTGGCCTTGAATTTAGGATCCACCTACCTCAGCTTCCCAAGTACCTGGGATTATAGCTATACTGTATAATCTATGTTCACTCTAGCTTGCCCCTATGCTTATTTGTAATGTTTTTTTCCTGAAAGTGAGTAACCTGTCTCTAATTTCATACAATTTATTGACTTAATAGCTCAATCCTTCTACAGTTTTGGAATGGTTAACAATATCCTTGTAAGAAACAAATTCACCATGTAAAATATATTGTTTATTTACAGTTTCTATCCATTACTTTAGTCTTATGATAAACAGTCAAAATACTGAATTTTCAAAGTTACATACATAGGTCATCGCTTTAAAAGTTTTTCTTTTCCCAATCTCTGAAAATGAAATATAAAAGTTTTAAAGAAGCTAACAAGGCTCCAAACACATTAAAACTGCCAGTCATTAGTTGCTTAAACTGTAACTATAAAGTAAAAGTTAGAAACAAGTATATAACTTGGGTGTTATTTGCTATGGATGAAAATAAGGAAACACAAATGAGGAAAACAATTAAGAATTTATCAAAACAATTTATAAAAGGAACTTGACTCTGAAAGTGAAACTAGAATAACAAAGCAACTATAAAAAAAAATACTTGAAGGACTTATACTACCTAGCACTATAATAATAAACAAGACTGTAAGGTATTAGTATTAAGATATACAAACAGATCACTGAAACAAAGTAGAGTTCAAAACCAGAAAAGTCAACAAAAAGGTCAAAATCAATTCAGTGGAGAGAAAAGGACCTTTTCAACAAATGGTACTTGAACAAAAAGAAACATATAAAAATAAGAACTTCAATCCATACTTTGTGCCATTTGTTAATTCATAATGCATTGTAGACTTACAATATATGTAAAATTAATCTATTTTAAAAAAAAGAAAGCTGGGTGTGGTGGTGCACGCCTGTAATCCCAGCACTCGGGAGGCTGAGGCAGGAGGATCGCTGTGAGTTCGAGACCAGCCTGGGTGGGCTACATAGTGAGTTCCAGGTCAGTCTCAACTACATAGTGAGACCCTGTCTCAAAAAAAAAAAAAAAATTAATCTATAAATGTTCAGAAATAGAGAAGCAAATTCTTTGTGGCGTTGGGTTAGGCAAAGATTTCTTAAGATACAAACAAGATTCACAAAAGAGAAGAAACTGATAAAACAGTCTTCATAGAAATTAAACATTTCTCCTCAAAAGACATTCTTAAGATATATGCCAGACTGGAAAAACAAAATCTTCAAATCACATATTTACAGCAAGGATTTGCATCCAGAACATAAAAAGAACTCTCAAAACCCAGGGGGAAAAAAATCAACCTAATACATATGGGAAAAGATTTTTAAAAATACAGTATTTGATTTTACCATGGAGAATCAGTATCTATGAAGCCATACTGAGTAGTGGGCTAACTGAAAGAGAAGGGATAGCTTTGCCTTACATTAAAATTTCAATTACTAAATGGAATGTAGGAAAGGAGGAGTCAGGATTATCATCAGGTAACACCATTTGTTTGTAACAAACATCTAGTGATGGATGCTAAAATTAGTAAGAAAAAATTTCAGGAAGGATTATATATTACCTCATCCAAATTACTTCTTATACTTCTAAACTACAAAAGGAGAGATAGTCACTTCACAGCAGAGAAACCTAGCAGACACCAACTTCACCAAGTGATCAAGGTAATCATCATCAACCAGTAGGAACATCATAAACTAAGGATACATTTTTATAATGTTATTGTCAAAAATTATATGCTCTCATTCCATTTGTGAGAAAATGTAAATGGTTCAAAATGACACACATGCTACAAAGTAACTGATCGGGACTCTAAAAGGATCAAGATCGTAAAAGGAGAAACAGGAACTGTCTTAAAAGACTAAGAAATAACTACATGTAATGTGAAATCATGGATAGAATTCTAGAACAGAAAAAGAACCTCAGTAAAAAAATCAGGGAAAGGGCTGGGGTTTAGCTCAGTGGCACCGCACCTGCCTGAGTTTGATCCCCCAGTTCAAACAGACAAAAAAAAAAAAAAAAAAAAAAAAAAAAAAAAAAATCAGGGAAAATATCAATCAGATCTGTGGTTCAGTTAATAATATTATAACAATGTTAGCTCCTTCTTTTAATTATGTTAAGTGAAAAATGCCTGACAACAAAATAAATATAAACTATATAATTTCATTTAAATAAAAATTCTCAAAAACAAACTAATCTATGACAAAGTAAGCAGATAAGTGATTGCCTAGAAGTAGGGGGGTGGTGAAATCCAACTACTAAAACGCACAATGAAATATTTAGGGGTAATGAATGCATGTATTATATGATGAGTTTATGGATATATACATGTCAAAAATAATCAAATTCATACTGCAAACATGCACAATTTATGCTAAGTCAATGATAGCTCAAAGTCTGCTAAAGTTTAAAAAGTTAAACTGAATGGTCTTTTGGAGAACTGACAAAAGAAAGACAGGGAGAACTACTTAAAATCCATTTTAAAAGCCTTAAAAAAAAAACTGTGACATAATGGGTGGCAGAAAGGAGAAAACAGAAATACATTGTCATCTCTGCAATAACTTCAATAAATACATATAAGATACAAGCTGGAACAAGTTGTTTCTTTCAATCTTTTCTTTTTCCTCTCAGTACTGGTACCGGGTATCGAACTCAGGACCTTGTACTTGCTAGGCAGGCAACAGTACCACTGAGCTATACTCTTGACCCTTTTTATATTTACTTTTCCCCATTGTTTTATGCAACTTTATTGAAGAAAAATAAACCAATTACTAGCAAAGCTATTAGTTGATCACTCATCCATTGACAATTTGCATCATTTACTCAGTGCTATATTAAACAGTGTATTGGAAGATAGATTAACTAATAGCGCCAAGCCTCCTAACAATTTAAATGAAAACTGCAAAATGTTTTGAGACCCTATTTCAGAATACAAAGGTGTTTAGAGTTCTAATTTCCATTCTCTGTAGAAGAAGAACAGGTCATTCCTTCATTGACATGCATAAAATACATCACATTTTCTGTTCTGCTGATGCTATAAATTCAATACCAATTCTCCAGACACCAGTTATGAGCAAATAGTATATCATGTAACCTCAAATCTCTAACAGTGAAAGCTTAACAAAAACAGATGCTGGTAGAGTAATGTTGCTTCCTTGCCGTGACAACCAAGCATCCATCTCCCCCCTCAGTTGGCTTCTTCAGCAATTAGAGCTGTAAGGAATAGCTTAGTCTCAAAACTAACTTAGCGTGAGGACACTGGCCACATAATACACATACTCCATTTTTTAAAACAATTCTGAATCTTGGGGAACTGATCTCTTGTAATTACTTTACAGTTTCTAAAAGCAGTTACTGTCCAAAACTGGAAGAACTTAAGTCTTCTCAGATGAGCATGTGAATGAATGGAGGAAGGTAAAAACTTAAATTAAAAAAGAT